ATAGCCCATGCCGCTTGCCTTTTTTCCCTGAACCCTTAAAAACCGCGGCCCAAATTGTGCAAACGCACTGTGTAAGAACTCGGGGCGTGCTGTTTTACAAAACGCACGGGAAAATCGCGAGGGTGTTTCCTCGTGAACCGCAAAGTGTTCGTGCTCAGCCAGATTCGACCCCAAGATTTTGGATGGTGGAGATTGAGCCCCGAATTTAGTTGTGGTGCTTTGGAAAGAAGAGTTTGCATCCGGACCGTCAGATGCAGATTTGTGAAAAATGGACGGTTGAAAAACGTGCTACATATGGAGTTTCAAATTGCAATACGCAGTGAACTTAAAAGGCACCCCCCGAGTGGCGAGAATCACGTTACCCCACTGCGCTAATTTCAAACGCAGTGCGTTTGAAGGCCGCGCCTCCCAATTTGGGTCGCGGGTTTTGACGAGACACTGTTCATGCTTGTGTGTAGTGCAGGACGAGGCAGCGCCAATCAAGGTTAGGCTGGAAGGGCTTCAGTTCGACCCCGCCTCGTCTGCGTCCAGTGCCCGTGTGCCGCCGTCTCGAGCCCGGAGGGTAAGCCCTCCCATCTCCCTCTGTATTCGCAGTTGTTTAGATATGTCATTCGGTCTAGCTCCATTTGTCCGTGTGCAGACCCACGGCGACACTTGCGGGTTCGGCTTGAAGTCCGAAGTGCACATTGGCGAACTGTCGCGCGCGCTTGGACTGGCCCCATGGTGGCGCCGCGCGCCTGCAATTAACGGAGCAGCAGGCCCCAAACCCTCCAGACCTTGCCCATTGAGCAGCGTCGGATGATCCGCACCGTAGCTGGCCCACGGGCGCATAGGCGTAGGCGCTTGCTGTAAGCGATTACCATGCTGAGTGCTTGCTGTGCACTGTGCAGTATTATGTATGTCTGTTGCGATTTGACCAAAGATAATGATCATGAACACAATTATACAAGTTTGCGTGAAAATGTGCGGCAACAACGGTGGTTGTGACACATGCCTGATGCCATACCGAGGAGATGCACAGAAAACATGAGGGGCTTGTTCCCGCCATGATCATGTTGCCACATTTGTTTAAGGGTTGTAAGAGTGTATTGCCACCAGATCTATATGCTACACACACCGCCATACAATCTGCCACAAGTTTGTAGCGGGACACCCATACAATGTGCCGAAACCGCCTCTCGCTTATGCCATTAGGGTTCCCAGATGCTGCTAAACCGCCATGATGGGGAACAAGTGCGGAGCCTGCGAGTGACATTTCCCTGACGACAACAAGCTCCAGTCTCACTTGTCTAATCGGCCCAGATGTCGCCGTAAGCTAGACGCCACCCTAGATCGGAGAGCCGCGGCGGCGTTTATAGAGGCCCTACATTCTATGGTGTCCGTCTCCGGCGGGATGGAATGTACGCCCCATGGCGGCACCCCTCCCATGATGCATGCGGAAGAGGGCGCATCGCCAGACACACCCCACGCCGCAGCTTCAGCGTGTCTTGTGCCCGAGGCGGATGACAGCGACTCGTAAGAGTCCAGCGATGACGAGGGTTTCGACACACTAATGGAACTATACCTGTTCTTCAAGGACGCTGATCTTTCGTGGCGGGAAGTCAACCGAATTTTGCACATCTTTAGGAACCCCAGATTCAGCCTCCGAGACATCAAGAGGTGGCGTTCCAGTGTCGACGTGCGGCGCTTCGGGAAAGAAAATGCACCACCCGACATGGTCCCATGGAAGACAGAGGAGATAGTGTCTCGCGGACGTCCCGGCGAGGTGGAGAGGCTAACTCTCCACCACTCTCTTATTCTCTCACTCACCCACTCTCTCATTCTCCCATTCGCCCACTCTCATTCTCCCACTCACACATTCTATCATTCTCTGATTCTCGGATTTTCTCTTTGCTTGTTCTCCCATTCACCCACTCTCTCATTCTCTCATTCTCTCACTCACCCATTTCTCCCGGTCTCTCTCTCTCTCTCTCTCTCTCTCTCTCTCTCTCTCTCTCTCTCTCTCTCTCTCTCTCTCTCTCTTTCTCTCTCTCTCTCTCTCCCTCTCTCACTCTAACCCTATCTCTCTCTCTCTCTACCGTTCTCTCTCTGCTACCTTTCTCTCTCCCTCTCTCGCCTTACCTCTCTCTCTCTCTCTCTCTCTCTCTCTCTCTCTCTCTCTCTCTCTCTCTCTCTCTCTCTCTCTCTCTCTCTCTCTCTCTCTCAAGCGGTCCTTAGGTATTAGCTTATAAGTGGTACAGGTACAATTCAGAGATGTCAAGCAACCAGTGGTCCCCAGCAGCAGCCTACCGCTGCTCGGGAGACCTCGTCTAGGCTTCAATCACTGCTTCTAGCTCCCCAAAGGTGAGAGGGGTCTCCATGCCGGCTCCAAAAGCAAAGGCTCTCTCTGTGCAGAGGCTGACCTTGCTGTGCAGCGTCATGGCCTGCTGCCTCTGGAGTGTGACTGCCCACCACTGGCGAAATGAGGCTGCCAGTTTCTGGGCGAGCGCGGACTTTCTGTCCGCGTTGTGGTTGCGGGTAGCCACCAGGCCTGCGAGGAGGGAGAGAAACTCTAGCGTGTCGGCCGAGCAGCACCCGTAGGTCTCTGTAGCCACCCCGAGGACGGTGACAAAGGTGAGAGACTCGTCGTAGAGGTCGCGTTTCTTCTCCTGGGCTTCAGCAGCAGCCCACCCGGTGCCTTTCCTTGCGTGAGGGTCGCGGGAGGAGATGGGGTCGGTGATGGTAACATCCCAGACCCAGACCTGTCCCGAGTCGGGGTGGCACAGCGTGATGTCGGCTCGCCGTTGGGAGGTTTCGGGGAGGTACAGTGTGGATTCCTTGCAGGCGATCCAGCCGGCCTCCTTGGCTAGGCGCATGTCTAGGTTCACGAGGCCGTCGTGGGTCCGCTTGGGTCCCCCTCCCAAGGTACACTGCAGGAGGTGGTTGGGGAGGTGAGGGTCTATCAGCTCCTTTTTGCCCTGCAGTTGCATCGGCTGGGAATGGAGTGTTGCAGTCCCATGCGAAACGCCAGGGCGGTGGCGAAGTGCCCTGGGCTGAGGCTGAGGTCCGGTGTGAATGGTATGGCCGCCAGCCAATCGCCCGTACCCGGGCCGAGGAGGGACAAGAGCCTCTGCGTGTGGCCGAGAAGGGGGTTGAGGGTGAGATCCCTTGTCTCAGCCACCAGGCGGCGATGCCGCTCGCCCTGAACCTCGAGGGCCAGGGCGTGTTGGAGCTTGCTGGCCGGCTCGTTGCTCGGCCACAAGTTGAGGATCCGTTTTGCTGGGTCCGGCAATTGGGCCTCCAGGCGGCTGAGGAGGGCGTGGAGGGGGTGTGACGTGGAGTAGGGGGGGGAGAGGAGGGGGCGGAGGAGGGTCAGGGATGAGAGTGGCGCGAGGTGGAGGAAGGCGAGGAGGCTGGCTGCCGCAGTTGTTGAGGCGAGGTAACTGTACCCGCCTTCGGCGAGGGGGTCCGTCAGCCCGAGTCCTCCTATTGTTATTGGCAGTGTTGCCTGCCGCCATAGGAGGTCCCTCTCTGCCGCTTGCCTGGGTTCCTGGAGGCCGCAGGATGCCAAGGTGGTGGTGAGCAGGCGCTGTCCCCATGCTGTCCATTCTGCGTCAGGCAGGAGGTCCGGGGGTGTGGAGCGTAGCAGGAAGGCTGCCTTGCACCCTACACACCTGGTCAGGAGGAGGAGTGCCAGCTGCGGGTGGAGTTGCTGGACCAGGGGGAGGGTGGCGGCAGCTTTCTCTAGCGCTTCGCGAAGGAAGGCCGCACAGCCTGCGTGGTTTCCCACCGGGCTCCCTAGGATTCGGAGAGCCCCTGTCACGAGGGGTACCCCCTCCGGCGTGTGTTGGAGGGCGGTCTCGCTTGTGGACCAGGCCCCGCACTTGGCGAGGTTGCTCGACAGGCCTGCTGCTGCGATGGCGTTGGTAAAGTGGTAGAACGCCGCCTCGCATTCTTCGGGTGGCCCCACGAGGGTCACGTCGTCGGCGTAGGCCAGGGTGAGTACTTGAGGGTAGGCCTCTGCTGTGGCCATGAGGGCAGGGTGTAGGGTGACTGCGAATAGCAGTGGTCCCAGAGGGTCCCCCTGCCGTACTCCTCGCTTGCTGAGAAGCGGGGGGGAGCTGAACTCGTGGTCCAGGAACAGCGGCGCTGGGCTCCCGTAGGTTGTGAGCACGAGGGGGAGGAGTCCCGTGAGCAGGCTATTCTGCAGGGCCTCCACCATGGCTGCGCGTTCCGCGGAGTTGAATGCGTTTGCCATGTCGACTTGGAGTACGAGGTCGCCCGGGTTTGACTGGACATGCCTGCGGGAGGTGTGGATTGCTACCTCCGTGCCACCGGGGACGCACACGCCGAACTGCAGCGGCGTGAGGTAGGCTGCCGCTGCCAAGGAGGGGAGCGTGACCGCCGCCTTGTTGACGACGCGTAGCAGGCATTCGCCCACGGCTATTGGGCGGACGCCACCTCCTGGTTTCTTTAATGCCAGGAGTCGAGAGGAGGTAAGGAGTGTTGTCGCCTCTTCGGGATGTCTCCAGCTAGCACTGTGTTTGTGAGTGCTGTTAGGTGGCTCAGAATGTCGGCGTTTGTCCGGGCTGCTTCCCGCAGATGTTCGAACGTGGTGCCTGATGGACCTGCCCCGACTCCGTTCGGGCAGTGTCGAAGTACTACCCGTAGCTTCGTGAATGATATCAGCGGTAGTGGGCTTGCTGTCTGCGCCGTGAGACCTCTGGTGGGGGGCTGTTTGCGTAGGGCGTGTTCCGCCCGGGGGTGTTTCGCCCTGAGTGCAGCGAGCGTTTCACTTGTCGGTTCGCAAACGGGGGTGGATTCCAGCGCCTGCAGTGCTTTGCGTATGTTACCCCATTTCACCAGGGTTTCTGCCCTGGCAAGCCTGCCTTTATCGTCAGCTGCGTGTCGTGGGCCTGGGGGCAGCTGCGCCGAGGCCACTGCCTCTTCGTAGAGCTCGCGCCACTCGCCTGTCGCAAACCGGCGTAACCGGTGTAACAAGCGTTTGACGTCTGGTGCTCTGGTGGACTGTGTGGCTAGTGTTAGCTGAGGCAGAAACATGAGAAGGCGCCAGCCTCACACTGAGTCTCGGTTTGCCGCCAGATGGAGCAGCGGCGTCAGCAGAGCAGACGCGAAGGCTGTCAGTATTTCGCGGGGGAGTCGCCGCGCCAGTGGTGGCAGGCGACTGTCGCGAAGCTTGTCCAGGTCCCAGCTGGCAACGAACTCGAAGAATTCGGTGTTGTTCGCGAGTGCCAGCGGGGACATTACTGTCCAAGCTGGCGTCGACCGGCGGGAGATTGCCGAGCCGCGTCGGGTGTTGGAGAATGCGGCTCGCTTCTGCCGAATGCCATCCCACCTGTCTGCGCCTCGGGGTGGGGTGTCTTCCACTTCCAAATCTCCCCCCCCCCCCGGTACGCCTTCCTCGAATACCCTCATTTCGGGGGTATAAGTGGGGTCATTTCCGTCAACCAAATCATCGTCCGCTCTCTCCCTCCCTTCCAAGCCCCCGTCTGCGTTCCTCGTAGCAGCTGCTCGTGTCGGTGTGACTGCGTCTCCTACTTGGGCATTTTCTACTGCCTCCTCGTTGCCTCTGTGGTTCGAGTTTCCACCCTCGGTGCCGTCTTTGTCGCTGCTTCCGGTGGCCGTCTGAGCCGTCACGTTCGCTCCGTTAAGCTGCCGCTAGGCGGTCCGTTGGAGGTGCGCCGCTGTCGTGCGGAAGCTGCGCCGCCCGCTCTGTACCGGTCCGTTGCGGCCACCCCTCCGTCCTCCGCCACGTCCCCGGCCTAGCCTCCTGCCGCGTTGGTTCGGCGCTTCCGCTGTTCTCTTGCGCCACTGCCCCCTTCCGCTTGCGGTGGTGCGTCCCGTCATCGTATCGCCATCGCGGGGCGATGACGCAGGGGATGCTCCTGTCCCCTTTGCGCCGTCCTCGGAGGGAAGGGGATGGTTCCCCGTCGTCGTTGGGCTCGTCCTCCGGCGTGCCGTCGGCGTTGTCGCTGACATCGTCGCTGCGCTGCGAGCTTCGCGCGCAGGGGTTGCAGGTTGCCATCCTGACGCGGGCGATTTTGCTACTGCAGCGCCCATCACCGCTGCAACCGGCGGTGGCTGTCCCCTCGCCGCTCCGGGGGTCCCCTCTGGCGGACGCGCGTATGGCATCGCCCACGGATCGGTCGCATCGCTCTCCTGGCAGTCCTCCTCCCGGCGGTCCTCCGCCCCCGCTTCCCCCACTACCCGTTTTGTCGCCTCCACCTTTCCCGCCTGCTCCGTCGTTGCCTCCCCCTCTGCCTCCTCCTCCGCCCCCACCCCCACCGTCTCTGCCCGCGCCTCCTCAGCCGCCGCTAGTGGCACCACCAGCCGCAGGCGCTTGTGGGGGGGCAGCGGCGGGGTTTGGCCGACCTCTGGCCTCTCTGCCCTCTCCTGCGCGTCCCCCTAAGCGGCTCCGTCATGGCGGCCATGGCGGGTCGCCTGTCCCGTCAAGCTCGCCCCCCCAGCACGGAAGACGAAGGGTCCTTGGAGTGGCGCCCGTCCATTCGACAGCGGCATCGCCGCGCCGTCCGGGCCAGGCGTGCGGTGCGTCGGGTCCGCCTCCGTAGCGTCGCTCGGAGTCGTCGCGGAGCGGGGGGTGTTCTCGCCCGGGACCCACTGTAGTCCCGTATTCTCCGGTGGAGGCGATGGCCGGGGTTGTCGCTTGTATTGGAGCTGTGGCGGAGGTGCTGGATTGCCTCGCCCCCCCCCTTTGCAGCCCCCTCCACGGAAACCAGAGGCTGGGCGTCAGTGGCGGCCTACGATGTCCCACCGCCAGCAGCGGCGCGCCATGGAGGCGGCGTCGCTGCTCCTCTGGCGGCTTGCTTACGGAATGCCGCCAGGAGCAGAGCCGGGGGAGCTCGATTCTGCTCCTCGCGCCGTCGATGAATTGAATTGGTCGCTCGTGGCGAATCAGCGCCCGGAGATCTTGGCCGCTTGCACGGCTGTTCTTCGGGCGCTGGAGAGTCGGGCTGGTGCACTTGTCCCACCGTTGCCACTGGAGCAGTAGAAGCGGGGCAGTCGGCCACCGAGTTCGGCCGGTCCCCGCCTTTAGGCGCCGCCTTGGGCGTCGTAGCCATAGGTTCTAGGCTAGGAGGTGGCCCCCGCCAGGGGCATGTGTGTATGCCTGTGTGTTGCAGCTGATGTTGTCACGTTTGCCGTCCCTCTTGCCGCTCCCCGCCCCCTTATCACGCGGCCGAAGGCCGCCGGCGCGAGCGCCGCCTCCAGAAGCTAAAGGATGAACTCAGTTCTAAAACTAAAAAATGAGCTTGTAGATGTGCTCGGAGGCCTTATATACCATGGGCACTCCTCTCTCTCTCTCTCTCTCTCTCTCTCTCTCTCTCTCTCTCTCTCTCTCTCTCTCTCTCTCTCTCTCTCTCTCTCTCTCTCTTCCTCTCTCTCCTTCCCTCTCTCCCTCTCCCTTTCATTTCTCTCTCTACCTCTCTCCCTCTATCTCTCTCTACCCCTCTCTCTCTTTCTCTCTCTCCCTCCCTCTCTTCCGCTTCCTCTCTCTCTCTCTCTCTCTGCCCCCCTCCTCTCTCTCTCTCTCACTCTCTCTCTCTCTCGGTATCTATCTCTCTACTACCCCCCCCTCTCTCTACTACCTGCTCCCTCTCTCTCTCTCTCTCTCTCTCTCTCTCTCTCTCTCTCTCTCTCTCTCTCTCTCTATCTCTCTCTCTCTCTCCCTCTCTCTCTCTCTCTCTCTCTCTCTCTCTCTCTCTCTCTCTCTCTCTCTCTCTCTCTCTACCTCTATCGCCCCACCTTTCTCTCTCTCTTTACCTTTCTTGCCCTCTCTCTAAACCTTTCTCTCTACCTCTCTCGCTCTTGTCCTTTACCTCCCTCTCTCTCCCTGCCCCTCTCACTCTCTCTGCCCCCCCCTTCTCTCTACCTCTCTCCCTCTCTCTCCCCCTCTCTTTGTCTTCCACTATCTCCCTCTCTAACCCTCTCTCTGTCTCTCTCTTTCTCACTATCTTCCTCTGCCCCCCCCCCTCTCTCTCTCTCTCTCTCTCTATCTCTCTCTCTCTCTCTCTCTCTCTCTCTCTCTCTCTCTCTCTCTTTCTCTCCCTCTCTACCTCTCTCGTCCCATTTTTTACCTCCTATCGCATGAGACGTTCATTTCTTCTATCCTCATTTCCATTTCCCGAGTTCTACCATGCATTATCTTCTGAACTAAACTTGTGTTCTTTTCATGTTATCTCTTTTTTTTGCCACGTGAGTTGGTGCTTCAGGAATGCCGTTAGAAAGGATCTCTTGTTTCCAACTGTGCTTTTATCTACACTAGACTGCCACATCACATAACATGTTTCAATTGCTTCTACTTGTCGCCTTTCTTTCTCGTGATGCATTTTGGGGTCGAAGTGTTGTGTCGCTGCCATTTGCTTTGCGTTGCTGCCCTTCTCCATTCTGCTACTGCTTGCTTGATACACGGGTAGTGCATTTTGTGTATGCAATAAAAAAGATTGTACTGATCGTCTCGAGTAAGGTTCTTGGACTTTCCACCTTGAGTGCAGTCACTTGAAATTGAGGTGATAAGTGCAATCTATTTTCTTGCAATCGCCAAGTGCATTGCCTAAAAAAAAATTGTGACCTGTCCATTAGGCTTTCAACTTCCCCCACTTAGCTGGGGAAGCGATTGCCTATTTTTGTCGCCGACAAAAATATGTCACGTGAAATGATGGGAAACATTTACATTTTTGTTCTTGTTTTCCATAATTTTGTTATATTTTCCAGTACCATAGTGTAATTACTTTATTACACTATATTATACGTCTCAATTGCTCCCTTCCACATATCGCGGAATGATGGAAAACATGAAATCTTTTCCTTCATTGTTTCGTTTCAAGTATTATGTTGTAATAGTGATATGCCACATGTTTCAATTATTTGCCAAGCTAATCTAAGCTAATGAAGCTATGTAAGTTGAGATGAGCCATCCGCAATAAATAGCCAATACTCCCCATCATTTTGCTTCAATTAATTTCCTATTTTCATAAAACTTGATAAACTTGAAAAAAAATCTCGCCCGATCGATCGCAAGAGGTTGCTCCGCAACCCAAAAAAAAAAAAGCCATTGCAGGATGGAAAGACGCCCTTGCAAATTGCATCGTCGCAACGCCTCCGTTCATGAAAACTCATTACTATTCCAGGTATCTTTTGCAAAAAAAGGAACGATAAGTCAAGTGGAGATAATGAAGCGTGCTGAGAATTCTGTTGGGAAAGCCTATGATGAGATTGCTGTTCGAGAAGCTTCCAACAAGATTGAGATGCTTGAATCATCTCTACAAGAGGCATAGAAGAAAGCTGCCGCTGACGAAAAGAAGTGACTTGATGTTGAAGTGAAGTTCGTTACTGAAGTAAACAAGAGGAAAGAGGCGGAGGCAAGAGCCTTGGACAAGGAGAAGAGTCGGAAGGATGCAGACTTACGGAAGAGGATTCTTGAAAAGCAGATGGCTGACGATATACACAAAGCTAATGAAGGGGAAAATATGAGGCAAGAGATGGAGAACCAGCTTGATTTTGAGAGGACTCTCCGGGTCAATGCTGAGAAGAAATTCATTGAACATCAGCGGAGGCTGGATCTGGTGGAGTGCCAGCTGCATGAGGCTGCGCATCTGATACGCATGGCAGAAGTTTTGGCCAGGGAAGAAAAAGAGAAGCGGCAAAAGCTTGCGGCAGCATTCGATGAGGTTGAGAAAGATCACAAGGAGTACAATGCCAAAGTGAAGGCTGATCAGGAGGTTATGAAGGGCATGACCTTGAAGCTTGAGGAGTCGGAAAAGAAACTACAGGAGCTGGAGCAGAAGTTGAAGGAAGAGGGCAAAAAGTGCCATAAGATGGAAGCATTCAACAGCCAAGAACTGAAGCTGAGAAAGGAGGAGGAGAAGATGCGCAGAGAGTTCCAGGCCAAGCTTCAGGAGGAAGGAAAGAAGCGGTCTTTGGCAGAGCTTAGAAGTGGAGATGAAGCAAAGAAGCGGGCTCGAGCTGAGATCAAGGCTTTAGCGGAAGAGGGCAAGGTGCATGAACTGGAGACGACGCTTGGTGCAGCTCAGGCTAGAACAAAGGAGTTGGAGAAGAGGCTTGCTGATGCACTGGATCGTCTTCACAAGGAAGATTCTGGTTTGGTGTCTGAGGAGCAAGGATTGGAAAAACCACAGCAGGTGAAGGCTTCTGAAGAGACTGGGGCAGTGAAGGTCTGTGAGACACACAACCCGAAAACAAACGCCATGGGTGCAGATGACAATGGTGCTGCAATGGCTGAAGGGCTGTTGTACTAGGAGGCTGGAATGAGCTCTCAATCCGAAGATTTTATGAGGCTCAAAGAGTTGGTGAAAGTACTGGAGCAGCAGTTAAACGAGTCTAAGGAGGTGATCAAGACTCCCATGTCTGAAGCTGAAGTGGGAAGGTCAATGCGGACGTCACGGGCTTCAGAGGACAACATCATCTCCCATACGAGACTGTCTGCAGCAGAACCTCCTGCTGGGTCCACAAGTGAAGCTGTTGAGGAAGGGGAGGGAAGTACGGAGTCAGAGAGGGAACTGAAGCCTTCATCGAATTTGGACATTGAAGCTCTGAGGGCTGCGAACGCCTCCCTTCAGTCTGCACTGCAGAATCTGTCTGAGAAGGTAAACCCGCTGTCACTTTGCTATCTTGTATGTATCTTCTAACCTGCATTCCCATCTGTTCAGGTCCTTGAACATTCTAATTGCAAGAGCACAATCGAAGATCTTCAAGCTGAACAGAGGAAATTGAAGGAGCAGCTACCCCATGAAATGAAGTTGCGTGAAGAGATAAGTGTCGAAGTCAAGGAAGCTAAGTGGAAGAAAGAGGAGGCTGAGATGAAGGCTGCAGCTATGAAGGAATGTCTGGCTAATGCTGAAGTCAGTGGGCGTTCACCCACTACGTCTTTGAAGGATAGTCCCAGCAAAGCACCAACAATGTTGGTGAAGCTGTTGGGCTGAGAAAAGCCCTTAGGATCTTTCCAGAGACTAAGTCCCACTTGTACAAGGTGTTTGAGTAGTGCAGCGGAAGTGTTGAGTAGTTGAACCCTTGCACTAGTATGTGAGAGCAAGTGATTGATTAAAAGAAACAAGCATACAGCAATATATAAAAAATAGGAAAGTAAAGCAATTGTAGAATACAGTTGAAGGAACGGTTATCGAGTCGCACAGCGACTCGATTGTCGGTTTGGTTACCACCTTTGCAGTTGTAACAGTCAGTCGCAACCTCCGGTTGCAACCCTACGAGTCCCTTCGTCCTTTCGTATTCTTTCGTCCAGCCTCCTCGTGTAACCTCCGCTGACTCGCGTACTCAATACGAATTTCCTCGAGTGTAGTGTTACACTTCAGAAACGCTAAAGTCCTTGAGATATTTCCAACACTCCCCTTCGTTTCTGGAGTGCTGACGTGTCCGGACTCGGTGACGTTTATCTGCCCGGTCAGCAGCATGCAGTAATCGAACTTTGACTTCGCCAATTTCTTCATCAGGTAATCTTCAGCCATTTCTGTCGTGGGGCAGTAACTGAGTTGAAGTCTCCCCTTCACGATCTCATCCTTGACGAAGAAATACCGCAGGGCGATGTGCTTGGTTTGATTGGCGAACCCGTCTTTGTTTGCGATTTTGATCGCGGATTGATTGTCGCAGAATAACGAGAAGGCGGGCATGGTCGCAATTTTCGCTTCCTCGAGCAGCTCCCGCAGGTAAAGTCCTTCTTTGGTCGCAGTGCAGAGGGCGATATATTCCGCTTCAGCCAAGGATGGTGTGATTAATTCATGCTTGCTCGATTGCCAGGAGATAGATCCAATAGGCTCTAGTCGGTAGATGTAGCCCGTTCTGGAGCGTCGATTCTCCCTGTCTTCCGCGTGGTCGGCGACAACGTAGCCGAGTAATTGTACGGATGATGGCATTACTTTGCTGTAGGTAAGTCCGGTCGTCGGCGTAGAGACGGAGTAGAGCAGTGCCCGGTTTAGTTCCTCGAGATCCTCTTGCTCCGACTGCTTCAGGTGTGTCGCTAGTTGGCTCGCGCTGTAGGACAGATCCGGTCGGCAGATTACTGCTGCGAACAGTAGACAGCCGAGCTTCTGTTAATAAACCTGGATTTGTTTTGCGGGGAGCTTTGTGGAGGTGTCGCTGTTGTTCCCGTAGCGATAGGGAGTCGCGACTGCGACCGGCGTTAGTCAGAATTTCTTCGCGACAACGCCTGCGTACTTTCCGGCATGTAGGTAGAACGCCGAATCGTCTTTGACGACGTTCAGACCTAGGTACTGGCTCACGGTGTCTGACAACGTGAGTGTTAAGTCACTCCTTAGCTCCCCTTCGAACCAAGTGACGACGTCGGTAGTGGAGCCGACGTAGAGCACGTCATCGACGTAGACGATGAGTAGGACGAAATCCCCCCCCTTTTATAGTCGGTACATCCCTTGATCGTGCGGCAGCTGCAGAACGCCGATCCTGACGAGGCAGCCGTGAAGGTTCTGCTGCCAAAGCCGCGGGGCTTGTTTGATTTCGTAGAGGGATTTTACCAGCTGGCACACTTTTGTGGGATCGTCGATGAATCCGTGGGGCTGCTCGACGAAGATTTCGGCGTCCACAGGTGCGTACAGGAAGGCGTTGGCAACATCGATCTGACGCAGTGGTAGCTTTTTCGTGGCCGCGACGGCGAGCAGAATGCGCAGGGAGGTATGTCGAGAGACTGGGGCGAATGTCTCCGTGTAGTCGGTTCCGTATCGCTGGTCTGCTTGCTCGTACGACCCAGCGAGCCTTGAAGCGGTCGATGGAGCCATCCGCATTAGTCTTGATGCGGTACACCCATTTCCCCGAGAGCACATTCTTCCCGTTGGTTTTTGTCGTAGGTACCAGCTTCCACGTATTTCGGTCTTGCAGGGCCTTCAGTTCTTTTTCCATTGCTTCCTTCCACTTCGCCTTGTGTCCCCCCCCCAAAGCCTGCGACAGAGTAGTTGGCTCCCGCGACGACGGCGGTGGCAGGCTCTGGACGGCGACCCATAATCCAAGTATCTGCAGGCCCGTGGGTGTGTGTCGAGGGGAATTGTCATTCTCGGGATAAGCTGCTTCGTCACCATCTTCGGGGTCATGTAAGAAATTGGGTCCGATGCGTTCAGAGATATTTTTGTCGACCGGTTGAGGTGTAGTGTAACATTGGTCAGCGAAGTGGTTATAGTTGTCGAGGTTGTTACTATCGAGAGGATTGTCGTCGTCGAGTGGAACGGGCACGGAGCAGTAAGGGAGTGGTCCGGTAGCTTCCGAGGCTTCAGGTACGTCTTCTTCTGCTGGGTCAGCTTCAAAAGCATGGTCGGCGAAGAACCGATTGCCCTCGAAGCCGTCGGTGGGGTCTTCTGTGTTGGCCATGTTGTCCAGGTAATGCTGCAGCGTGAGTCGCTCATAGAAAATCACATCACATGAGGCCACTGTGGTTTTGTTCTGAATGTCAACAAGGTTCCATGCTTGGAAATGTTTTGCGATGCCAAGGTGTAGTCCCCACCGTGCTCGTTGAGAGAATCGTCCTGCTCGGGCTGTGTGGGGTCTGTACTGTACCACACAGCTGAAGACTCGAAGTAATTTTGTGCTGCCCACTTTTCCTGTCCATAGCAGGTGCGGTGATGCGTTGTTGGGAAGTGATGTCGAGGACAGCAAATTGTGCAGGTTGTTAGAAATAGATAGCAAATCCCACTTTTGTATTTGTACTTTTATATCCTAGTTTAGGTTAGGAATGTTCTAGTGGGTTGGGGAGTACTCACAAAATCCCAACCTCACCCAGTTGTGATCCCCCCAATCTCCAATTACCCAATTGGAGATTCCAGAGATCTCAATGGGGATTCTCTCCGATTCCCTCTTCATCCATTCTCCCTTACCTTGCCATGTACTTAAAGAGCCTTGGGTTCCTTACCTACTCAATCATTTCAGCTCTATTTCTTACATGGTATCAGAGCGACCTATCCGCACACGCGGATCAAGGTCCTAAACTTAACGTGCCCGCGCTACGCGCACCTCATCGTTGCGACATTCGTCTCGAGTCATCGGAATTTTCGACGTGCTCCACTCTGCAGTCGCGCCTCTCATCGTCGACCGCCTTCGCGCTCGACCTCTTTGAATTTCTCATCTCTGAAGCTTTCACGCTTCTCATCGTCGATTTCCTCCTCGGTTTCTCCTTGGTCGAATATCAAGTTCGACCATCTCTTAAAACTCGTTTTCGAGTTTCCTCTCGGACCCCGCCAGCATAGGCAAACTCCCCTCGCGGAATCGCCTCCACGAACGTCTCGCGTTAAGCAAGAGCAGGTACAAAGGTGGAAGCGGAGCGAAGCTGGTTGCGGAGCTGGTTGTGGAGTTGTGTAGCTGCGGGACAAGGCCTGGGGGTGTGTGGGGGGGTGTGTGGGTCCGGGGTTAGACTTAGGCTCAGATTTAGTTTCGAGTCGGTGTTTTAACAAATTCCCGCCGACTCCATTTCCTTCTTAGCGGCATTTCGGCGAAGCCGTCGGAGTGATTTTTCAGCACTTCTCGTCGACCAATTTCCATAAGTGCCGCGCTGCGCAACGGAGTTCTTATCGGTGACTTAAGACCGTCGCCTCGCGAAAATCAAACAGGAATGGCTTACTCAACCACTTCACTCGCCAACCCGATCCCGCTCCTTCGTCTCGAGCCGGACGGTACATGCTCTAACTACAAGGCTTGGCGCTATGGTGTCGACAAGCACCTCCTCAGTCGCGAGGTGAAGGGCTCGAGCTCACCGACGTTCTTCTCAACATTGGTGACGGCAAAGAGCCTCTTAAACCCGAGAGTTCCGCCAATCCAGCTAATGCCGCCGCCGAAGCAGTTTATGCTGCTGCACTGCTCAAGTACAAGAATTGGGAGAAGGCCGATGGTGCGGTCATTAGTGTTTTCATGGGCACCACTCCTTCCGAACTCATCGAAATCTACCACAACTACCCGTCTGCCAATGCCATTTGGCTCTACCTCGAAGACCGCTTCCCGAACAAGACTGCAGTGGGAGTTGCTATACTCATCCCCAGCATGTTCCAAGTGCGTCTTGAGGACTCGCCAGGCATGGCAGACTATGTCACCAAGGTGCAGTCCATTCATGGTGAACTCAAGCAGTTGGGGATAGTCTTCCCCGAGCAAGCCTCTGCAGCCGCTCTCCTAGTCGGCCTCACTCCGGCATACGAAGTCACACGGAAGATGCTCTTGGGCCTTGCTCCTGCGGACCTCACATTTGCCAAGGTCTCATTTGCGCTCCTTTCTGCCGAAAAGGGCAACAGCGCTCAAGCCAAGGCCAATGCAATCCGCGCTCCCGTGCCTCAAGCCTATGCCGCTTCGGTGCCATTCCAGTGCAACCGCTTCCCCCCGTGTCCCTACGTGATCAAGCGCGGCCCTCGTGCCGGCCAGGTGTGTGGCGGCACCAACCACGCCCTTGCCTTCTGCTTCAAGAAGAAGGATGACGAGTGGTATGCCGTCAATGGGACCACCTCGAAGCCGCCAAGCTGGATGGTCAATCGTGCTCCTCGCAAGGTCAATCAAGTCGAAATGCAGGAATCCGTGCAGGCTGCTGTAGCTCCCCCTGCTGATGTGCACCTCAACATGTTGTTCCTTGCCACTGCCAAGATTAATGAGACAATTTCGCAGTGTCCCGGCTCACAATGCACCTCAGCCACAATAGAGTTCACCCTCGAAAGTGGGGCCACTCACACGGTTCTCAAGGAAGAACACTCCTTCAAGCCATACGAGACACCAATCCATCTACTAGGAGCATACTCCAGTTTCACAACACACGCCAAGGGCTCCTCCATAGTTCTGTGCCCAGATTTCCCTTCGGGCAGTGTCATCGGCATGTGTGTTCCCACACTATGCCACAATCTCGTGGCCCAATACGAGCTCCAATGGGCAGGCGTCACCACGATCTTCCCAGCACACTCGGATCACTGTGACCTCCTCGACCCTAAGTCCAACAAGCTCCTAGCACGCTTCACACTCAACAGCAGCAAGCTCTACACGCTGCGTTCACCTGCACCTCTCGCCGCCCTCTCCCAAGCGCAAGGTGCCAACACCACTCCGTGTTCTTGTCGCAGCTTCGCCAACCCAACCATCCTCTACCATCATCGCTTGGGTCACCCCAACATCCGTACGCTTGCCGACATCGCTTCCAAGAAACATCTTCTTGGCCTCCTGCCGGCGCTTCCTCCACGAATAGACTCACCTGCACCCACCTGCCTGGAGTGCACCAAAAGCAAGCTCAGGCAGCAGCCGCACCCTTCCTCCCCATCCGTCGTAGCTGCTCCGCTGGACCTAGTGCACATGGATGTCTGGGGCACAACTCCAGTCGCATCCCGTGGCGGTCATCGATACTTTCTTATACTAGTCGATGACCACTCGCGGTATGTTTCCGTGCACCTCCTGCATACCAAGGCGGAGGCACGTGACGTCATCATGGCATGGGTGCGCCAGGCTCACGTCACGTTCGGCACTCCTCTAAAGTGCCTCCATTCTGATGGCGGGGGAGAATTTCGCAATGGCAAACTCGATAACTTCTGCGCGGACCAAGGGATTTGGCAAACCTTCACGCTCCCCGAAAGCCCGCAGCAGAACGGCATTGCAGAGAGCCGCAACCACACCTTGGTTCAAATCGCTCGTTGCCTCCTCAGTCACGCCAACGCACCACGGTCACTCTGGGGATATGCCCTCTTCCATGCGGCTCTCCTCTACAATCTTTATCCGCATCCCCACCGGCCTGACACCATACCTCCCACTCTCTGGCTTGGGGCCACGCCCTCCGCCCGCTCTCTACGCGTCTGGTGGTGCACCGCATATGTGTTACTCAGCCCCCACACGCGCAGGAAGCAAGGTGGCAAGCTTGGTCCCAAAACCCAGACGTGCATGTACCTGGGGCACAACTCCGATTCCCCATACTACTTATTCCTCAACTCCATCACCAGACAGCTGATTCGCAGCCGTGATGTTGTATTCGATTAGACACGCCCCTTCCATTCTGCGACCACGGGCGAGCCTCGTCCACCTCCCCCGACGCTTGTATGGGCAGACTTTGATGCCCCACCCTTGGCCGCTGCCCCTTCTCCGGGGCCTTCTCCGTCCGGCGTGTCTCACCCGGCCCCCCCCGTATCCTCCGCAGCGGCACCTCCTCCTGCTCTGCCTTCCCCACGCGTCGAGCCCGGCTCACCATTCTCCTACCGGAAGCGCCCAGTCCCTCCGGTCCCACCGCAGCCGTCTGCAACTCCGGTCTCTAGTCGCACTCGTTCCAATGGATCGGCTCCGCCTCTCGCCTGGGGACCAGCCGCCTTCTCCATCCGGTGTTCGGTCACCCCGCCTCCTCCTGCTGGGGGTGATGTCCCCTCCATCCGTATTCCCCCCCGTGCACTTCTGGAGGACAGGCATGAGGAGCTGTTTGACCTTCACGCGGTCTGCCAATTTCTCTCTCACATCTTCCCAGACATTACTGACTGCCCTTCCCTCAACTTCACCGAGAACCCGACCATTCCGACTCCTCGCACAAAAGAGGAAGCTCTCTCGGGGCCTTATAAGAAAGAGTGGAAGGTAGCAATGGATGTGGAGAACGAGGCATTCATTCGCAACAACAGCTTTGACGATGTCGTTCCCCCTTCCGGTGTTAACATCGTCGGCGGAAAATGGATCTTCCGAGTCAAACAACTCCCAGGCGAAGCTCCACTGTTCAAGGCACGATACGTGGCGAAGGGTTTCACCCAGAAGGAGTATCTCGACTTCTTCGAAACATTCTCGCCCACGGCCAAGCTCCCGACTCTGTGCGTTCTTCTTGATATAGCCGCTCGCGGCAACTTCGAGATCAAGTCCATGGACGCCTCCTCTGCTTTTCTCCAAGGCCAGCTCAAGGAGGATGTTCACATGGAACGCCCATCGGGGTTTCCTGGCATTTATCCTGCCAACACACTGTGAAAGCTGAAGCGCCCAGTGTATGGCCTCAAGCAGGCTCCTCGTGAGTGGCACAACAAGGTGAAGGAAGTCCTCCTCGCACTTGACTTTCATCCCTCCGCCTCAGATTCCCGTCTTTTCGTTCGTCACTCCTCCGAGCCCTTCTACATCCTCGTCTTCGTTGATGACTTCATTCTAGCCGCTAGAGATCCAGCCGAGATGGTAGCTGTCCAGTCTGCTCTCAGTTCCGCCCTTCTCATGAAGGATCTTGGTGACCTCAAGAACTACCTGGGGATGGAGATCACTCGTGACCGCCAGGCTTGCACGATCACCCTCTCCCAGGAGTCCTACATCGACAACCTTCTCGAACGGTTCAACATGGACTCCAGTAAATCTGTCTCGACTCCACTCCCACTACAGCATCAGCTCACGGCCCCTGCGATTCCTTCTCCTGACACCTGCAAGGACCCGTACCCTGAGCTAGTCGGTTCACTCATGTATGCCATGATGTGCACTCGACCAGACTTGGCTTACCCGGTTAGTGTCCTCTCTCGGTACGTCTCCCCAAGACGCTACACTGCCTTGCATTGGTCTGCAGCTAAGAGGGTCCTGCGCTATCTACAAGCCACCAAGTCTCACATCCTCACTCTCGGTGGTACCTCTCTAGTCAAGCTCGAGGGATACACAGAATCCTCATGAGCCGATGACCAGACTGACAGACGCTCCTCCCAAGGGTACTGGTTCACTCTTGGTAGCGGAGTCATCAGCTGGCGTTCCACTCGGTCCTCTGCCGTCTCCCTGTCGTCCTGCGAGGCCGAGCTCTACGCAAGCACAATGGCTGCTCAAGAGGCACGCTGGCTCTCCTTTCTCCTCGCTGAGTTAGGCTACCCCCTGCAGTCGCCCACCCTATGGTGTGACAACCAGAGCGCCATTCATCTCACCAAGGATCCTGTGTTCCACTCTCGCACCAAGCACATCAAACTTTGTCATTTCTTCATCCGAGATCTTGTTCAGAGTGGCCAGCTGACGGTACGGTACATCGCCTCAGATTGCAACCTCGCCGACCTCTTTACCAAGGCTCTTGGCAAGGCTGACCACCATC